GGGAAGGGGAACAGACAAGTTGCTGTCCTTTTGTTCTTCAGTCTAGTTGTGGAGGACGTTGCTTCACTGGCCCATGTTGGTATTATCATTGCACTCTTCCTGGGTGAGGCAGATAGGTCGCTGGCCTCTGGATGGCCGCTCATGGCAGCGCTTGGCAGCTCACACCGGCTGCCGGCCGCTCACACTGGCTGCTGGCCACACACGGTAGCTTATGGCAGCCCACTGCAGCAGGGGCTGCAGCCTACACCGTCGCCGCGACTCACGGCATCCCAGCTCCAGGTTGATCTGTTGTTCAGCGTCTTAGCTGTAGAGGGCAGTGTCACTGGCCCTCATGTGGGATCTGAACCGGGGCCCTGCTGCACAGAGCTGGCGTCCCAAGCCGGCTCTTAACCAACGCGCCACTCGGCCGACCCCTGAGGGGAATTTTTAACATTTAACTTTACACATTCATAATTTTAAAAATGTTTTTCAATGTACATGTTATTTTTAAATTATAAAAATATTATTTTAAAAGCAACTAAGTTATTTAAAAATTTTTTTAAATAAAATTTTTAAAACCGGGCCCCAGCAGTGCTAAAGATGCGCGTGTGTTCTGTGCTCAGCTAACAGTGGGTATGCCCATGTGGCGGTGGTGATACAAATGTGAATAATGCACACTCCTTGCCTGGCTGACAGACTAGTAGGGGAACCAGCTCTGGATATCAATAACTATGATATGTTGTGTTTAGCAGAGGAGGAAATGACTATTGAGGTGGAGAGGCGTCATAAAGCCAGGGGGGGTTTGAGCTGGGTGAGGGGAGGCGCACACAAGGACAAAGCTGCAGGGATGAGCTTCCATACAAGAGAGGCTAGTGCCTCTGAGGGCCCCACGATAAAATGGCTGAGCTCCAGGTACTCCAAAGGAGGCCACCCTAAGATGTTGGGGGTCACATGCAGTCACCCAACTTATCCCCCAGGGGCAGCTTTGTAGTCAGGAATAAGGCCCTCTCCCAGGGAAGGCTGTCTGAAAGATCTTGCAGGATGAGCTAACCCAGCCAACGAGCTGGGCCAGTCAAAGGCTGAAACTGCCCTCTGGCCTGGCCCCTGTCAGGGCCTCCCTGCAACTTTCCTCACTTGAGGCTCCTAATGAGTCTCTGTTCTTTGCCACCCAAAGCACACAAACCTAGCAAGTGGCTTTTTTCTTTTTCAACAACTGGCCTTTTAGGCAGAGACAGCAAATATATAAACAAAGGCCCAGAGCATGAGCAAAGTCTGTATGTCTTCCAAGTGGAAAGTCCTGTCGAACACTGAAGCTATTAGGTCTAGACCTCTAGAAGAAAATCAGCAGATAGCACTTTTGAAGTAGAAATGAAGCCTTAAGTTAAGTCACCCAAGGAGAGTCTAGAAGAGTAAGGCTTAGTACTTACCAGATGCCAGAGAGTTGATCTAAGTTCTTCACATGTGTGTACTTTTTTTTTTATTTAAGATTTTTATTGGGGAATTAGAACAGTGCTGGGGAATTGAGGGAAGGGGAACAGAGAAGTTGCTGTTGTTTTTGTTCTTCAGTCTAGTTGTGGAGGATGTTGCTTCACTGGCCCTAGTTGACACCATCACTGTGCTCTTCCCGGGCGAGGCAGATCAGTTGCCGGCTTCTAGACAGCCGCTCACTGTGGCTGCTGGCCACTCACGCTGGCTGCTATGTGGTAGCCCATGGCAACCCACTACAGCAGGGGTTGCAGCCTACACTGTCACTAGCGACTCACGGCAGCCCAGCTCCAGGTCGAGCTGTTGTTTAGCATCTTAGTTGTAGAGGGCAGTGTCACTAGCCCTCATATGTGGGATCTGAACCGGGGCCCTCTGGCATCCCAAGCCAGCTCTTAACCAGTGCGCCACTCGGCCTGCCCTGTACTTTTTAATCTTCAGTAAGTTCCCATGAGGGTGTGTGCCAGGCACTGCATTAGCATGGTCTCATTTACTTCTCTCTGGAGGCCTAGGAGTTAAGTACTATGACCAGCCCATTTCCTAGAGAGGAAAGTGAAGCTCAGAGAGGAGTTACGAAGTGGCAGAGCTAGGGTTCTCCTCTTTTCTGGCCAACTCCAGCGCCCATGTGAACCAGCACCACCCCAACTTTACCTCTCTCAGTCTCAGGGCCTGCCAACATTAGGGGTGCCTCCCTGTTCTGCACTAGGCACTTCGTTCAGTTATTTTGATGCACAAAGGTAGACATTTCAGGGGAGAAGCCAGGCAAAGTTTTCACTCTTCCAAAGCAGATAAATCCTATACAGCACTCAGCCCTCAGCTGAAAATGGGCATTGTCCATTGTCTGAACAGTACTGGACCCTCAAGGTGATTATGAGGATGGACACAGAAAGTTTGTTTATGGTCAAGACCCTGAAGGAAACACCAGCAAAGTGTAATGGAGTTGCGATCCCTTTTTTATCATCCCAGGAACAGGAATTGTAAACCCTTGGTGACATCCACTCATGGGTTATATTCCTGGGGACACACAGGAATGAGACAGTCAGGTGTGGTGGTTACAAATGTGGGCTCTGTAGCCAGACAGCCTGAGTTAAATGTGTGCTCTATCACTCACTAACTGTGTGGCTTAGGCAGGTTTCTTAACCTCTCTGTGTCTTGGTTAATTCATCTGTAAAACAATAATAGTAGTACCTCCCTTACAGATTTGTTGTGCTTGGAATAGCACTCGGCAAGTGGGAAGCATAGAAAAAAAATGTTAACTATTATCTTGCTATATCCAAAGCAAGGAAATAAGATTTTGAATAAAGAAAGCTTTAAGCATAAGGTGATGTCTATCATTTACTTCTCATTGCAGATATACTGTCCCCTCTTGGGGAAATCATGGAGCCTGTCATTACCCACCTTACCTCAAA